CTCTGCTAATAGATTTCACATTAATTTTTGTTATGGTTGTTATCGGCGCACATTTCTTTCATTTGACCTTTCAGTCATTTGTACACAATACTTGATCTTTAAGTTTACTCGATCATTGCCTAAGTTCTATCATTTCATATTTAATGACAATTGCATTTTGTTTTTTCCTCGCGTCTTCAGTTAATTGCTACTTTAATTTGTGGTTGGTTTTGCTGCTACATTTAAAATTCCCGTTTCTTATGGCAATCCAATTTATGGTAGCTTTCTTGTTATTTTCATGTTTTTATGACTTGCTTTCTTTCTACCTCTAGGTTGCTGATAATTCCACTTTGTATGGCTGCTGTGTGTTGGTTGATGAAATAGTACAAAAGCCTTCTGGATTGCTTTCCTTGGTCTCAGATAGACAACCTGCCCACCCATCTCTGAGCCGTTATGTGATGACCACTCGTAGATGTTATTGCATTCTATCGAGGCTGCCATTCTTTGATTTGCACTTTGGTGTGCTGAATAGGTATTCTTTATTACACATCAAATAATAAGGATCATTTATAAACCTCTCTAGTTTACTTATTATTATCATCATTACTAAGTGCTAACTATTGCTTTACTTGGTTTTAACACTATTGAATCTTCTATTTCTCCTGCGAAATATCCACTTAAATTCATGAATTTATGGAGATAATCCCACTTAATAAAGTTTTTGTGCTGAAAACTTTAAGATTTGTTGTTAGCAATATGGTTTTTAGACTTCTAGTTAATCTCACTAGTTATCATTACATTTTCCCCTTAAATTTTTCATGCAGCATACTTGATGAGGAAAGGTTGGAGCGATTAACAAAATGTATTGGTGATATAAATTTAGAATTGTCGGAAAGTTATAGCAACGAAGCCAATCTAGATGATGTATCAACAGATCAAGGACCCCTAGAGGACTCGCAGGACACAAGGACTGAAACTTCTGAGAGTTCTAAACCAGGAGATGACGAGGGGATTAACTTGGAGCATCAATTGCCTGAGAGGGACTTTGACTCAAAGAAAGCTGTTAATCATGATAATGTTCTTCCAATTGATCCAGAAACTGAGACTTTTTCAAGCAAAAAAGAATCTATTGATGCTAATCATGAAGATTGTGATACTGATGTTGGTGATTTCACAACAAATAAGCAAGTGGCCGAAAGATGTTTGCCAAATGCTGTGTTGCCACTTCTGCGCTATTATCAGTATGAAAGCTCTGAATCTTCTTGCAGGTAGAACGCGTGCAGTGATTTTATTTGTTTAGCTGATTAGTCATTTCAATGGATGCTTATATGGTGAATTAATTTTATGTTGTTTTTCTGAAGTATGCTTTTGGCTCTTTATATTCAGGAGTTTTATCCTTTGTTCATTTTTCTTGATAATTCAGGAAGTAGTTCTTTCTTGCTCTCTATCGTTTTCTACATCTGCAACTATGTGGATGACTATTGCTACATAATCTTTATATATGATTAAAATCTTAATACGATATGCATTTATTTTTCAGTTATCATTTAGACAGTTCCATTTTCGTCTAGTTTTACCTTCACAAATGCATGTATTTACGGGATGATGCACACATGCAATTTTCAAATTTCAAGTGGTTCAGTCAATTGTTATCTGATCAAAATGTGGTATTTATGTGTGTACAGTTTCAGGGTTCACCTTGTGAAGACAGGAACTTGAGGAGTGATGTTGATGATACGGAAACAGAAGAGACCTCTATTTCGGGCCAGGAAAATTCCAGTGATCATCTTGATATCCTTGATTGGGCCAAGGTTTACATATGTCTTTCTTTGAGTTGATTTAAGGTTTTAATGAGAACTTTATTGCATGAGATTCCTGTTTTCTGACATCTTGGAAAAACTTATTCCTCCCAATTTCCAGGCAAACAATCATGGATCACTACAGATACTATGTGAATATTATCGCTCACCTTGCCCTTCAAGAGGTACAACACTTAGGTTTCATCCTTTGGAGCACCTTCATCCGCTGGAATATCATAGACTGGATGGAGAAGTTTTGCATATTGCTGGTTCAACCATTGATTTGAGATCTTGCAGTACAAGTCTTGAATTAGCTGAGGTAACTGTGTCTATTATTAGTTTCATAGGACGAAAAATGTTGCATTTCTCATTTTAGGCTCGGTCGTTCAATTGTGTCTCATATTGTCTGCTTTTATCAGGCACAAACTTCCCTTTTGGCGGAAGAAGAAGCAACCTCTTTATCAATATGGGCTGTTGCATGCATGTGTGGTTCTCTGCGGCTTGAACATGTAAGCATAACATGCTGTTTGCTGTCTTAGGTTTTCCTATAGATTGATTGTTGATATCATGCTTGGTTTTGTATGGACTATGGAGGCGTTGCCAAATTGATTTTTCTACCCTGCAGGTGTTAACGATCATTGCTGGAGCATTGCTGGAGAAACAGATTGTGGTTGTTTGCTCGAACTTGGTAGGTTACATCTGCCTAAGCTAAGTGTGGTCTTTTACTGGTTGACTATTTTTCAATTACCAATCTTTACCTTGAGATTGGAGAATCTGTCCGTCTCCAATCCTAATTATATCTCCTTCCATTGCCTCTGGTTTGGTTGTATACATTAGCCTGGAGTGTTTTATAAGCAGATTGTAGATTGGAGTTTGCATATTTAGGAGAATAGTGGAGGATCCCGTGTTCTGAGTTTTTCATGTTTGATATTCATGACTAATATTTGAATGATATCATTTATGTTGCATTCTTGTTCTCCACTCGTTGATAGTTGGAAAATGTAGAACCTCTGCATTTATATTAAATTTGAAATCATTTGCAGGGAATCTTATCAGCTATAGTTTTATCAATTGTCCCTCTGATCCGTCCATACCAATGGCAAAGCCTTCTGATGCCGGTATATCTCATAATGATCACTTCAGATATCTAAATTGATATTTATGCTGTTAATAACTCCATACAAATTTTCAGGTTTTGCCAGATGATATGCTGGACTTTTTAGATGCACCTGTTCCTTACATAGTAAGTTTTTTAAATCAATCCCGGAGTTTCTCCATTTCTTAAAAAAAATATCTCGATGTCGGCATGCCTAACTTATTTAAATTCAAAGGAAATCATATCAGAAATTTGTTTATTATGCACAAACGAGACTATATGTCCTTAGTGGACGATAGTCACAATACTTGTGTCAAAATGAATTAATATGTGATCTGTCGGAAGAAATTATCTACTCGTTAATAATGAAAAATAAATTTGAAAATTAACATCATTACTTTTTAAAATAGGTTTTAATGCAACCTTCAGAGTTCAACGTTGTTATTATTATTTTTTAGAGTTGGTTTTTTTCTGGCATTGTGCTGGCTAATGAAATTTTACTCACCTATAGGTTGGTGTGAAGAACAAAACCAGTGAAGTACAGTCGAAGTTAGCCAATGTCATTCTGGTTGATGCAAATAAGAACCAGGTTCGTGTCTTGTCATATGTTTACATTGTAAATTATTAGATGCGTGCATACTATTAACTTTTCGATAATGATTATGTATTATTTTTGTTTTCTAAGCCGTAGATTTAAAATACGACATAATAATGTTGTTTCTTTTCCTGTTCGAACTTTCTCATTGCATGATGATAGGTAAAGGCATCGGGAATACCACAACTGCCACAACGTAGGGAGCTGTTTGCATCCTTAAGTCCTTATCATGCAAAGCTTGTTGGGGAAAGCTATTTGGGGAAGAAAAGGCCAATATACGAGTGTTCGGACGAGCAGGTATCTATATTTAGGTTCACTTTTTCCATGAAAACCTTAACCCCGTAAGAACTTTTCCTGACAAATTTATTTCGCCTACAATTTATGCAATTTATGCAATCCAAACATTCATGGGCGTGGTTCATGCCGGATCCATAAAAAAATCAGGTGGACCCCACTATTCATGGTTGGCATTGTATAGTTATTGAATTGTAGATGATAAGAACATTTTCCGGACGACATACTGCTTAGATTGACAAGTGAACCATGTAGAGATTTGTTATTCTCTTGCCTTTTCAACTCATTAGTATCGATATTAGGCATTGATTGTATTTCGAGGGTAACTAGAAACTATATGAGTTGAACTAGACTAACAATGTATTCCAAAGTTTATTTTCGTTATCCGTCCGACTGGAAAAATTATCCATATGAATCGTTTAATTGTCTCAAATCATGTTTTTGGTTTTGTGTAGTTGTCTAAGGCTGCTAATAGTTGTTCATGTGTGTTTTTATCATATAGGTTGAAGCTGCAAAAGGTTTTCTATCAGTGTTAAGATCGTACTTGGATTCTCTTTGCTCCAACATGCGGTCACACACGATCACGAACGTACAATCCAACAACGATAAGGTTTGCGCTTCTTTGAACTGTAATGCACAGCTATATTTGTCATTTTCTACAACCCTGTGCGCTTCTTCCTAAACAAATCTAGAGTCCTGAATTTCTTCCATGCCCAGGTATCATTGCTTTTAAAAGAGAGTTTCATCGGTTCATTCCCTTATCGTGATCGTCCATTTATGAAGGTGAGTCCCTTAAATTCCTATAGCTTATTAAACCTTGATTTTCCCCAGCCCCGATTCGAATATATCGAACCTTGTTTTCCACCATATTATGTTTTTCGTTCCTCTAAGTCGTTTATCTTGATATTTATGTTTTCACATGCTCTCGTTTCCCCCCTCGACGCCCAGCTGTTTGTGGACACGCAACTATTTTCCGTGCATTCGGATCTTGTTCTCTCGTTCATCCAGAAGGAATAGCACCGCAATCATCGACAGATTGGCCGTTATCATACTGTTGTAGCTCGAACGTAGGATCGACAATGTAAAATGTAAAAATTATATCATCAAAAAGCTGCTAAAAGGAATTATTTTTCCCTTGGCACCTTGAAAGTTAAAAAAGTAATGATTAAATCAGATGTTTGAACTGTGAATTAAACAACACAGCACTTTAGGTGAAGCAACTTTTAAGGCCTTTGCTTCATCCTGACCGAACATTTAGCAAAATAAACATTGCATCTGCAAGCAAACACACTTGGGTTTTAATGTTGTATCTCTTGTCGGTACGAATCTAAACTTGTACTATACATAAATATAAAAGAAATGTACAATTTTTTCGATCCTCAATTTCTTGTAATTTCACATTTAGTCGGATGGAATTCTCCAAATGTAATTTTAAGAATTCACAAAGATCCCTCTCAAGGTGATCTTGTAAAAGAGTGAATGCCTTTACAACATAATGGCATTCTTCACCATACAAATGGGCAGCACAAGCTACATTGTAAGTTGAGAGCTCCATCATCCCCAACACGATTTTGGATTTGAGTATCTGTTTTAGCCGCCACCTGCAGTGTAATCTCCAAGCTTTTCTCGCGTTTACCTCGGTAAATATTATCGGCATCCTTGTATAATAAGCAGAGTGATTTGCTTTTCGTTCACCTTCGTCTCCATTGAGACATATAGACAGTAGATCCTCTTCGTATTGATACAGTTTGAGGAAGCATGAAGCAAACTCCCTCCATGTATCGGACTCCGGAAATGTAGCTTCGACCCGCAAAGCAATCATCTCCACAAGAGAATCCAGACTATAGTAACCATTTTGATGCATGATGACAAGCCTTCCCAATGAGTGGCAGCATGTCGGATCCTTCAGAATCTCCTCGACACAATTAGAGAGCATGACAGAGTCGTGAGAATAAAAATACTCTAAAAGACTAGCCCTCAATCGAAACGGAAAGCCGTGTTATGACTTCACTTAGAGCCTCATTCACTTGACCTCCAATCAGCAGTAACTGTACCAAAGGAAGTAAGGCAGCTGACAAAGGGGGTTCACATTGTAGGGCAAGCCAAAGATACTTCACAGCATCATTATAATGATTATTAAGCATTTGCCTGTGCACATAGACAAAGTTCTCACTAGAATACGGCAACTTTAAGGGCATCAACCATGACTCTAGACCCTAAGGCAGAGAAGACCGAAGGATCACATGTATAGCCACTATCATTATATAAACCAGCTTGATTTTCAGCAGAGTTTCGGTAGGAGCCTAGCGGCTCAACCTCTTGTAAGAGATGTGCATCAATTCAAATCGGCACAGGAACGTCTCCGTGTAGGTTGCTATCGGCCACCGGTCTGTATCTTTTACCATTCATGAATGTCTTTGAATCATATCGAGAAGTAACGACGTGACGAGTATAAGCTGCATAATTCCCGACCGAGTTAACAACTTAATTGCTTGATTTCGATCCTGCAGTGCCTGATAGCTGAGGGGAGTAATCTTGGTCTGAATCTCTCAACTTAACCTCGTCACTGAGATTGGAATTCCAAAGCTGAGAGAATGTCAAGCCCATGACCAAATTAGACATTGAATGGCCACTAAAGTAACGTTCTTTCATTAAGCTTAAAGCAGCTTGATGTGCCCAACCCAGATTCCCATGTGCAAGACAAAAAAATGAACAAATGAAGTGCGATTTGCTCCTCTACTTCGACAGTCTTCGTCTTAATTCTGCTCATCCAAATCTCATAGATGTCCCTGATCCTTCTTAGATCAACATTATCCCCATCTGTGTTCTTAAGAAGCCTAATTGAAACAGAGTACTTGAGGCGATTCAAATCGGCAGAACAATCATTGGAAGTACCCCTGAGCAACAAGCTCAAGACTCCACTTGCCTCACCCCAATCATGTTTCTTTACAAGTTTGTCCAAGAGGTAACACAGCCTTTTCCGATTTCCCATCGGATGGGGATTCATCCCAATGTTAGAAGAAAAGAAGGCTTTGTTAATGATAACTTCAACCTTTTGTCTAGCTCTTTTACGGGTCTTGGGTTCTTCTGAAGTAGCTTCAAGTTTCTCCTTTTTTTTTCTCTGGCCTTCTTATTTCTCAGAGATGGGGCGAAATCGACGACGGAGAAATTTCCGATAGCTGGATGATGGCGCCAAACTGACCGGAGCCAAAAAGGAGTCGAGAGGGGAGAGGAGGATAAAGGCCGAAGAAAATCCGGGACCACCAGAGAAAAGCGGCAGCGAAGAGCCAACAATTATGATTGATGATTTTATTTTTTTTATAAAAAAATTAAAAAAATATTATTATTTATAAAAAACTCTAATTTCTTTTAAATTACAAAAAACCTTAAAATCCTCAAATCCTAATATTAATCTATTATCGCGTCCTTTTCATCACGACTATTGCCGCTGTCGTAATCCTTATCATCATCCTTATATGTTACAGTTGTCGTCTTCACCATCACAATCGTGTGAGATCAAGATTTTCATCTTAGAGTTCGCGGGTATAAAATTTTAATTTATCGTCGATCGTTCGTTAACCGATCACGATTTTATTAGATTTTTGGTCTTCGAAGGAGGAGAAATCGGGTAGAACTTCTTCAACAATAAAAGTCAACGGTTTTTGGTCATCCAAGAATAACATATTTGATGACATTCATCATTTCAGATATTATGCCAAAACTTTCTAAAACTTCAGTTCAGGAATATGGAATAAACTGATAAAGCCTGCCAGGGTTTAACCACTAATTATATAATATCTTTAGTATTACCTGCAAGATAAATTGATTATTTGCAATTAGCCAAAATATGGTCATCCAGGACTGCACGTTGAGACTCCGTTCATTGCTACTCGGAGAATTACAGCAGCTGGTGGCATTGCCTCGATGGCTTCACCAGTCCGCGACCTCCCTGCAGTATTTATACATCGACGATTGTCCCAATTTCACGGCATTGCCTGATTGGTTCGAAGAATGTAAATCTCTTTGAAAGCTTGAGCTATTGAAATGTCCTAATCTATCATCTTTGCCAGAGGGATTCAGTCAGCTCAGTTCCCTGCAAAAATTGAAGATAGGGCACTGTCCTATTTTGATGGCTTGAAAGTTTGATCATGTTATTTAATAGGAGATTAGGATGTCCTAATCTATCATCTTTGAAAGCCAGGCAGATGAAAAATGGTAATAGGAGAAGACTGGCCCAAGATAGCTCATGTACCAGAAATCTATCTTGATGGCTTGAAAGTTTGATCATGTTATTTAATAGGCTAAACTAGAAAAAAACCCTCAAACTAGTTTAATATTGTTAAATTAGCCCCTATACTTTTATTTGTTCCAATACTCTCTAATTTGTACTTCGTTTAGCCCTCATTTCAAATGAAATGTTAAACAAATTGAAAAATAGATTTCTTTAAGACAATCACATTGAGATGAGGCATGCAACTGACAAAATTTTCAACAAAGTCTCTTTCACTGTCAAAATTATCTATGATAATAGAGACAAGAACCGAACCAATACGATAATAAAAGACCATGCAGCCATAGTACTAAAAAAGAGTCAAAGTTTTTCATTTCTGAAGAACACTGTACATATAAACAATGAGAAACATGGACTCGGGTCTATCTTAGTTGGTTCATGTAACATTCTTAAAAAGAGCATCAGAAACCCTTTCCTTATTCTTAAACAGTGACCTATGAAAAATTATATCTATAAGAAAAATACATTAATGGTTGATGCGATTCCATTCTATAAAAGAGTCCCTGAAAGAATAGATGGGCAAATAGCACCCAGATACAAGAAATAATTCCCACAGGTGTTTTTTTCGATCATTTCACCGAATAACCATTAATCAACTTTTTCTCTTGGAAAGGACTCTAAGCTATATATACTCCATGAAGAATTGTAAAAACTGTTCTTCGTTTTTTTGCTACCTACTGTTATGAGCTGAGGCTATGGGAAAACCTATAAATTTATTGATAATGGTGGAAATTAATCAGAGCACCGGTTAGTTCCAATAATGAAGCCCACAATACCTTTACATTGCATCAAATCTGGAGGAAAGGGTGGAACAATAGTGAAGTATAATACCTTGTGCCAGTTGTCAGCATTTTAGATCTTTACATCTGTTTTTCGTTTTTCAATTTAGCAACCCTGTTTTCAGGAAGGGATGGAGACCGTTGAAGATCATTGTTAGCAGCGGCAACTACTGCAGCAGCCGTCTGAGATGTCTTTACTGTAGGCAGACTAAAATTTTCCAGAACTCCATTGGTAACGGATCCTTGTCGATTCCCAGTCTCGTTTCTGACAATTTCAGTTTTATTACCGAGGCTTCTTTGACTACCTGTCTCTGCTCTAGCTAATGATGAACATTGTGTTTCTGTAATTGAAATAGAGCAGCATCGTCAATTTCCCAATAGCTCAAGCATGACAAAGAGATAACATACCAGAAAATAAATTATATATATAAATTGAAAAAATCCACTCTGCCACCATTATTGATAAATTTATAGGTTTTCCACTTCAACCATAGCTTCATGGAGTTTAGAAATCCATAAATTGAATATCGATCAGTGTCTTTGAAAATTTTGTTAAAGCAATCGTCTCCTAGTTGCTGAGAAAGTTGGGGATGGTTTCATCATTTGGAGCTTTCTTCCCTTTATATGCGCAAAATATAATTAAACGTGAATCAAATTTTCAGAGAAGGGAGAGGGGAACTTGCCCTTTATTTCTCCAAAAGTGATAAGCCTATTGAGACAATCCCGGAACTTTGTCAAAACAATTCTTTCCTGCTCTGCATAAATCTCCATCATCTGTGAAGATGTGCTGCAGCCGTTGCCTGTGATTCCATTAGAGGGAGCTTCCACGAACCTTGTATCTTCTTCATCACACATCAAAGCCAAAGTTCCTGGAGACAAAGGCCTTTGCTTTGGCGTATCAGCGTCATCTGAGCAGGAATCCTCACGGCCAGCTTTATCAGTTTGGTTTGCACTTGAACAATCATCAGCCATGGTTTTCTCAGCGTCGGAATCTTTGTGGCTTTCCAGCCTGTCTTGAGTGGATGATGCAAGGGAGGCTTCGGTCTGATCTTCGGCCAGCTTTTCAATCATACTTCTCTGATCTGAATGTATACATAAATTAAGGGAAGACCCATTAGCTGAAAAATAGGCACATCGGTTAACTTCTTCGATTAACTAACTAAAAAGTTGGACGTTAAAGCAGATTTAAAACCAAGATAAATGGGATCCTTCAAGTGACATCAAGTGTCCAACTATTATTTCTTACGAGTACTTCACTAGGACAGGAGTGGTCTGAAGTAACAGAAATGATTTCAGGAAACAACATCAATATCAATATTCAAAACAGTTTAATACAATATTTGTTGACACAAAATCTCAAATTATAATTGATGCGCTGATATGACTTAATTCGAAACAAAAGTTGTAGCGCTACTTTATTCATTACATAGAAAAATAAATAAATAAATAAATAAATAAGTAATGACACTAATCTTTCTTTGTTTCTATTAGAAAATCATCGTTATACGGAAAAATAGAGCTGAATATAACTGCAAAGCAAGCATAAGTTGGTCGACATGCATGATAGCCTTCACACTGTTTACTCGTAAATAAGCACGATGCAAATGCATGAATTAAGAACTAAAGTAATAAGTATGTCATGAATTAGAGACTGTATGTTTAGACTAGGGATTCAAATTGTTTTCCATGTATTCCCATATACCTGCAAGTGTCTTTGCAGCTTCTCCGGATAGAACTACCAAAACAGAACAGAGCTCCTTCAAGTCCTGCTTCTGAATGATGTCCGCTAACAGAGACCTTCCACGAAAATGCATTAGTTAGTTTCCTGAACAAGTGAACCATAAAAATATTTTTATCAAGACGCTCCATTTACCTATACGTGAATCTTGATGTGCCTACCGCAGCAGTTGTACCTGAACTGGAAACTGGCACAGAAGAGGGCGCAGAAGCTCTGATATGAGTTTCCTGGCTCAAATAAAAAATAAAATAAAAAAGCTGAAAATGTAAGTTGAAGAAGCAGAAACTGAAAGAAATTATGAGAATGAGAAAGCTTCTATGGTAAATTAATCAATTGTCAGCAGTGGCGAAAGAATGAGAATAGAAAATTTCAGCAAACAATCGTTCTTAATTAGAACAAAAAAAGATTAGCTAGAATCAAGGTAACTGAAATATGATTCAGAAAGTTTCTCCGAAGACAAATGTCAATAAATACACATGAACGATGTTTACCTGCGGGAAGTTTCCAAGCCTGTGAACAGATGGATTCTTGGAAGTGGACTGAAAGAACAGTTCCTGGCCTTTTCTCTTCTTAGATACTGGAATGGAAGCGAAACCAGAGGAGCCAATAGCTCCATTTATGGCAGCATTAGCTGCCTGCTGAATATATGTCAAATTGTTGGCACGGTCACAATGAAACAGAGACTGTCTCTCTTCACTACCCTCAAAATTTTTGCAGTCCACGCATTTGCAGTTTTCAGAGCAGAGAATGTTGGCTTGGAAACACTCACAGTACTTTTTAAGGCACCCAGATTTCTTACAGTGGCATCCTTTGTTGTGCTTTCCCAATATTAAAACTTCCCCAGGATCTTCCTAAAAATATTTCAAAACTAGTCCATATGAGAATGCCAATGGCAGCAAGCTCTATCAAAATAGTGTACAAAAGGGTATGTTTGTATTTCATAAGTGTAAGTTCAATGAAAAAAAAAAGTGACCAGTATACCCTGCTATCCAGTGCACCATGCAGACTGCTAGCAATTTTTGGCCTGAATGCATTTGGATTACGCTCCAAAGTTGCATCAATAGCATCTCTCCTTGCAGCTTCATTCTCAACATTGTTATAACAATTAACACAGTTGCACCCATCACAATATACCCCAGATGCAAAGCACTCACAGTACCTGATCAACTAGGTAGATTATTAACTTTCTATATCATATACCATCAGAAATGTGGGTTATCATTAGCATAAAAAATGTCTTAATTACCTGTATTTACAGAAAAATCATACACGATAAATGAATCATTGAAAACAAACAGTACCATCATAAATGCCCAGGCAAGCTGCGCAGATGCTGCCTATAGAAGTCATAACTCAACCGTACTTTCTCTCATGCACACTTCTTAACATATAGAACATACATAAACTCTGAATCTAATCAGTGAGTTGGAAACATATATACAATTTTCATAGAGCAAGGCACAACTGGACTTTTCTAGAATCAAACGGATGTTCCCCCTATTTCTGCAATTAGTTCAGGTGATAATATTCCTACAACTTGCACTATTTGCATTTTGAGGCTACTTGAGGCAAACCAACCTAAATTGAAAGGGTTTGGAAACTGACGCAGAACAAACTTATAAGCTAGGAACTACAATTTATCAGCCTGAAGAAGTTAATATTGATACAGTTAGAAAGGATATTTACTTGATTGTTTTTGTTGTAGGATTCTTTCCATTAAAACATAGACAACGCTGCAACACATACGAAATACTGAACTCCCCTATTCATGGCAATGTGTATTACTATATTCAACACCAACTCATCTTCGGAAGTATTTCTATATTCTCCAAACTAATTCGATACTTTTTTTGTAAAAGAATTGAAAGAGGAAAAGATCAAATAGACATTATTTGAAATTGTCATATTAGTGAGATTCTTAAAGTAGCACAAAATAATAGGGACAAAACATTTTGAAGATTATGATCACAAGATTATATGGCCCAAACCTAAACATTTCTTGCTAACTAAAGCCGAACGAGTATGTTAGTCAATTTACTTACAGTTTCAGACACCGAGAATGTTTACAGTTGCACTGCTTCTGCTTCTTTGGAGTACCATCTTTGAGTTCAGTTGCTCTTGGTTTTACTTTTGGGGAATCTGGTTTTCTGAAGCAAGCAAGAAATATGAGAAATAATAAAGTTTGAGTAATGCAACTAACTTTCATTAAAACAACGACATATAAAAACTAAACAAAATTACCAGAGTTTGATTCAAATGATAACTGAAACTAAAGACCGAATTTTGAAGCATGTGAAAATAAAATGTGAGGGAAGACCGTAACCGAGACTTATCATTACTCTCTCAAAAACGGAAAGGAAATGTAGAAAAAGGATTAATTTTATTAAAAGAAATAAATTAATATCCTCAAAATAACAGACTAAAAGAAGAAGAAAATCACAAATTTTGATCGCAAAAACTTACAGAACTCTCGACGCTTCTGTAGTAAGAGGAGCTTGCACAGGGGCCACTGGAGAGGTCGCCACCGTCTGCGGTAGCTTTATCTGTTGCTGCTGCTGCTGCTGAGTAACTGTAGCAGCCGCCGCAGCCGAAAGCGTAGCGACACCTATTTCTAGCTTCGATTGCTGGTGTTCCGGTAAAACTACACCACCAGAAGAAACCCCGCCAAAACCGGCCGTGAAATCCAGCTGCCTTGCAAGCTTCTTCGCCGGAAAACCTGCCGTATCGGATTGTACCTTTTTTGGCGGGAACTCACCTCCTTCTCCTTCCCCCATCTAATTCCAACTCATTCGAGTTTCAAAGGAATCAAATTCGAATATTTTTTCCAATCACCCCTACACAGCCAAAGCTGAAAATCAACCGAATGATCTCACAAATTACGTTAAATAAACTCGAATTCAACCTCTTTTAGATCCAAATCACAATCCACAACCTCCAAGACCTAAAATTCCAAAAGCGAACACCAAAATTTCTCCAAGCTCGAGATTTCCTCCTCGAAGTTCCAAAAAACAAAGAAACTTTTGATTCCGATCGACGCATAGAGAGAGAGAGAGATAAAGAGAAAGGCTAGAGCTTTCTCCTAAGCATCGGATATTGAAAAACAAAGAAAGAAAATAGATAAATTTCAAGCTATTGTTTCTTCTTCTTCTTCGGTTCTCTCCTCCCTCTCTCTTGCAGAGTTTTGAAATTTCAATTTTTTTCTTTTTTTGTGTGTTTTTTTGAATGGTGAGATTCGAACAGGTTTTCGCATCTGACGGTTCACGTAGAAAGAACTAATCTGACGGTTGAAATTCATAGGAGTGAGTGTGGAAGCCCCGGTGAGCGTTGGATCTGATTAAACGCAAAGTTTTTGGTGAAAATACCAGAAAGGTCCCAATACTATAGAAACTGATTTAAATTAGTTTCTTTTTAATTATATAAATTAATTTTATATCCAACCCGAACTCACACTCTACAAAATCTGATCCGAACTATTTTTAAAGAGAAAAACTTGACTATATCAGATCAGGTCAAATTAAAAAAAATGGTTGTCCTTTTTTACCATATGTATGGGGTAAGGGGAGGTAAGATAGTAGGCTACCCCAACACCAGATTGAGATCAACTTCCGTAAGAGATCTCCGAGATTTTCTTAAATTCGAGTCGAAATATCATCCCTAAAGATATAACATTCTATTTTACTACAATATTATCTTTAATAAATACATGTCCCTCCATCATTCTTCCTGTCAGTTTCATCTCTCCGATCACCATGCCATCGATTCACAACCCTTTTCGACGACGACAACCGTGCCCAAGTTTAATCACCATATCGTCCGCATATCAAACACCTGCAAACAGACACAGCAAATGATCTTATTCATGTGCCGTTGGTTCGAAGTATTCATGTTCGACACATATACGACCATGTGTATAACCATTAACATGCCTTTGTCGGACATGAACACTTACGCAATGGAACAGGGCGGCGACGTTTCTGCCTCGCCGCCTCTTTCTTCCTCAGAGGTTGAAGAACCGCCTTGATTGCGGTATCGAAAACGGCTTTCACGTTCTGATGCAAATCATCGATAAAGATCGAGTTGTATATCTGTTAAAACATGAAGGGTGTGTACATTTACAAGGCCATGACCATAGATGACATCGAATTCACCTGCTGAGTTTTGGAGCTGCATTCAACATAAGCCGCCGCAGCTCCTCTCCCTGTATAAACCATTTATGTCCGGATAAGCTATTTTAAATTACGATTACGTTTTCGGTTGCTATCGTACGATATAATGGAACCATGGTAAAGATGAAGTGAAAGAGCATACCTGAGCAGATGTTATAATATCATAGCCCATTTGATCAGCAATATATGCTCGATCTCCCCGAAGATCTGATTTATATGGGGAAAAAGCATTATTCAAAAGTACTTGAATGAACATTAAACGAACATGGTCACGAATAGCGGACTACCTAGCTTCGTTCCGACCAGAACGATCGGAACATTAGGAGCAAAACGACGTAGTTCAGGCATCCACTGTGGAACAGATTAAAATGGGGTTTTAGGGGATTGTATTAACAACGTTTTTTTCCAAGGAAAATGCAAAGACAACAACCTTCTTGAGAACATTTTCATAGCTCGCTCTGCTGATTAATGAGAAAGCTAAGACAAATATGTCTGCACCTCTGTAACTCAGTGGCCTTAACCTGCTATAATCTTCTTGACCTTTTTAATGGAAAATGGAGAAGACAAATCAGAAAAGAAAAGAAAAAAAACCCAGATTTTTCCTTCATCCAAACACAGCAAACGACTCAAAACGAGACCTGCAGTATCCCATAAACCCAGATTAACAATGCTCCCATCTACAGCCACATTGGCACTGAAATTATCAAACACTGTCGGTATATAATCCTGAAACACAAAGGGAGAAAGAAACCCAGATAGTAAAATAACCCAAGATAGTGAAATGACTTCAAGGTAAAAAACAAAGAAAGTTCTTACAGTTGGGAACTTGTTGCTGGTGTAACAAATGAGCATACATGTCTTTCCAACAGCTCCATCTCCAACAGTAACGCATTTAATGAACCTTGAAGCACTCATCTTCTCAAAAATTTGCAACTTCGTTCACAAATAGTTCTTCTTCAGCTAAGCAACTATATATATATTATACGGTATCTATGCTCCAAATGGAAAGACAAAACAACCGTTGTGGGGGAATGGTTTCTTTAATACATCCGATTTCTAAACAGTTGTTTGAAATGAATGCGACCGTTGGATTCATTTAATACAACCTATGTTTACATCCTCTTGTCGTTCTATCATGTAGGAAAGGACAAGATCTCACCATTAAATTGCCTTGATCCCTGTTGATAAATATAGAGTTGTAAAAACAACACATTGATAATGGTTGTAACAAGTAACCGTGTGTAAAAAGTATCTTTTTAGTTAAATTAAGTGTTTAGTATCTAAGCTATATGTTCTGATCCGTTTTAGTGCTTAAATTTTTAATTTTTTTAAAATCATATATAAAATTTAGTCTTTATTTCATTTTAGTATATGCCGTTAAAAATTTTAGTTTTAGTTTTATTTTAATACTCTGTTCAAAAATTAACATTAAGTTTTGAAAATATTAAAAGTTTAGGTATTAAAATGGATCAAAATTAATAGTTTGGGTATTTAACTTAACGCGAGTACTAAAATGAAATGAAAACTAAACGATAGATATGGTTTTAGAAAAAAAATGAAAGTTTAAGTACTAAAACATATCAAAACTAATAGTATATGTACTAAATGTATAGTTTATCCTTTTTTTAGTCCTCAAGTACTCAATTTTTTTATTGAAAAAAGGTGGACCGTTGGATGTGACTTTTGTGTTCTTGCATTTATGTATGAAGGCAAGGTTTGTTGGTCTCCATTAATGGCTTAGCAAATTCTCCTCTGCATTGAAGAGTTTCAGCCCTTTTCACCTAACTCTGAATTATGGTAAGAATTTGAATGTTCATTTGGAATAAAATGGCAAGATCATCTACAAGCTCCTTAAAAATGTCACCCTGTGAGACAAAATCCGTGTCGCAGTTAACCTCTATTCTTCCTTCAGCTGAGGCTCGACTGGCCTTTTTTTCCGCGCTTGCCAAGCCTTTCTTGCGAAGAAACTCCTGGGCTTTAACAATGTCCCCTCCAGTCTCCGAGAGTGCTGTCTTGCAATCCATCATTCCTGCTCCCGTTTCCTCACGGAGCTGCTTTACTAGAGCTGGTGATACAGTTGCTGCTGTTCATGAATATGAATAAAATACAGGGACACATGATCAATGTCAAAAAATATAAATATCATGAATGTTTCAACACACGCGCAGTCGAAATTGAATGTCGCATTTGACGTGGCACGATATTTTATTAAAAGTGCAAGACTTTGTGGGGTTTCTTATCATTAAGTGGCTATCTCCCATCTTTGAAGTATACCCCCATGTTGAAAAGCACAGGCAAACAACACATTCTTACAGCTTCAAACTAAGTATAAACCTTTAGTCACATTTTCCTCGGGTATGGAGCCATTTGAATCAGTAATTTCATCATTCTTTTGAAGTGCAGGGTCTGCCTCTTCGATTTCTGAAAAGAAACTGGTGTCTCTATATGCATTTCCTCCTTGGTATCCTCAGATTGATTCTCTTCTTCTTCAACTGCTTCACTTCCCGAAGACTTAATCTGATCATCGACCGATTCTTATGATGGATCAGGGCTTGCATTGTTTTCCACTATATCTGCACAAAATCAGCAATAGGAAATAGTGATAAATTGTATCCCCAAGTTCTCTTAACTGATGTCTAATGTATTTAATATGATGACTGAGATATGATCATCGTTTAAGATTTTAGTATTATATTTTATCATATCACTGTTAGCAGATTAACACTTAACTTAGAATTCTGTCAATTCTTTAACGGATAAGAACAGGTTTAGAACTTAATAAATAGTTTGGTGATATTTTTGTAATTTTTAATAGTCGATGGATTATTTATGGACTTTATCCTATTTTTTATATGAAAGATATTAATTAACCAAATCAATACTTATTTATGACCGGCCATTTTTTATTTATTTAATTGTTGACTTGATATTTTTACATCAACGCTAAACATGCATTAAATGTATCACATTAGTACTTGAGCACATATGACATATAAATAATTAGATATATTAAAATAATATCACGTTAACAACCAATATAATTTATAACTAACGATTTTTATATAAAAATGATTATTTTAACAAAAAATAATCAAATTTTTTGAAAAATTTAAATGAGAATAAATATCATAGATCTATTGTGCAAAATAGCCATTGATTCAAGGAATTACAAGGAATAGTTTGGAGAGTAAACTCAGGGACATTGAATCGATGTGTATGGCAAACAGGACACCCACCTGGTTATCTAAGAGCAGTTTGTTCTACAATTATGCATAGTTTTTCTCAAGTTTTCCTCCAAATCAGCTGTTGGTTGGGAATTAATAGCCAATGCAGAACCTATAAAAAGGAAGGCAAATAAACCCTATAGCCACCAACACAAAGCCATCCACAGGCAATAGAAATAAACACAAAGAATAAAAATAAAAATAAAACATGAGAATCACGACGGCGACGGGGATGTTGTGGAGAGGCCTATGTATGATCGTCCCTCTTCTCTTCGCCTCCGTCAACTTAAGGAATAAAGGCATTGCCGCCAGTGCCGAGACTAATTATAAGGGGAAGTGGGAGCTGTTTTCTCAGAATTCCGGTGTGTCGGCCATGCACTTGATTCTACTCCCCAAGACGAACAACTCTTTGATGTTCGATGCCACCATCTTTAAGACATCGAGATTGAAGTTTCAGGACCCGCATTGCCAAAACGTCGTTGTACCCAAAAGTCTCGTTGAGGAACACTGCTTCGCGCATTCGGTTCTCATGGATTTTGAAACAACGAAGGTTAAGCCACTCAGGGTACGGTTTTAGCTCTCCCCATGCATGCTTTGTTTTAATCGAGAATTTTAGAGATTTTATCTTTTAAATAATCTTTTCTTTAACAGTTGAAGTACGATACTTGGTGTTCATCCGGTGCCCTTGACGTGAAGGGACGGTTAGTAAGCACCGGTGGGTTTAATAACGGCTCCGACACGGTCAGAATTCTCGATAAATGTGATGACTGCACATGGAAAGAATACCCAGGCACGCTTGGAAATGGAAGATGGTACTCATTTTTAATTTAAAAAAAAAACTTGAATGATAAATGTTGATGGATTTTTTAAAACACTTGAATCTCGTCACTTTCGATTGAAGGTATGCTACACAAGTAACCTTAGGCGACGGAAGATTCATGGTGTTCGGCGGTCGTGATTTCCCGACGTACGAATTCGTTCCAACAGAAGGCAAACGCAACACCAAAAACCAAGTCATCGATTTCAAGTTCCTTCGCGAAACCCACGATCCCGTCGAGAACAATTTGTACCCTTTTGTTTATCTACACACAGATGGAAACCTCTTTATCTTCGCAAACAACCGTTCGGTCCTCCTAAATCCGAAGACTAACTCGATCGTCCACGAGTTCCCAGTCCTCCCTAACGGTGCTCGAAGCTATCCCTCGTCGGGATTTTCTTGTATGCTTCCGATAACGCTTCAACCCGACGAGAAACGTTCCGTCATCCCGGCCGAAGTCTTGGTATGCGGCGGCGCTGCGCATAACGCTTTTACGTTGGCGAATTTAACTCGACCCCCAGTGTTTCCCCCGGCGACCAAGGACTGTGGTCTCATAGATATCAGCCAAATGCAGAAAGCTACCTGGAAGATCCTGCAAATGCCATCGCCTCGTATTTTGGGCGACGCCTTGGTTCTTCCGACTGGAGATGTGCTTCTCGTCAACGGCGCCAAGAGTGGCTCCGCTGGGTGGGAAAATGCCAGGGACCCGAATCTGGTCCCCGTTTTGTATTCTGTCGCCAGTTCCAGTTTTAAAGAGCTTAATCCTTCGACTATTCCACGTATGTACCACTCAACGTCGGCGGTTCTCCCCGACGCTAGAATCCTCATCGCCGGAAGCAACACGAACGACGGATACTTAGATGTCGCCCTCTTCCCGACCGAGACCCGTGTCGAAAAATTCTCGCCGCATTACTTCGATCCAGCGTTGGACCGTTTCCGAACCGAGATTGTATACGATAAGAAGGCCAAGAGGATCAATTATGGAATGCCATTCAAGCTGCAAGTCAAAGGTGGCGATGAGAACCTTGACATGCAGAAGCTTCAAGTGAATATTTACAATCCTCCATTTACGACACACGGTATCTCGATGAACCAAAGGATGATTAGGCTGGGAATTTCCGATGTGAAAAAAGACAAAGACGCAAAGGACGTCTCCGTCATCTCTCTTCAAGGAGCACCCAACGGCAACGTCGCTCCGCCCGGTTATTACATGCTCTTCGTGGTTTATAATGGGGTGCCTTGCCGCCGTGCCATGTGGATTAACGTGAACAAGTAAGCCCTCTCGTTTAGAGCTCCGGTTCAACAAAGACTTAAATCCAATGTCTCATCACTGAGATGCAAATTTGCATCTAATTCCTCTCTATTGCTTTTCTTTTTCATTTTTCTTTTTGCCTTTTATGGGCACCGATATTTTGTATTTCTTTACTCTTTTGAAGTTAAATCAATCAAAATAAATGTGTAAATTAACACAGTTCCTGGTAACTTTTTAATATGACAATCAAAATATAATATATTATGGAATTATAATGACATCATTTATAATAGTTTAGACGGTAAAAGTTAAAATATTTTATTGAGAAATTATCTCATAAGAAAACATAATAAATATTAAAATATAGGGCAAAGAACACAAATAGTCTCCTGATTATTGGGTACTTTATTAAGTCACCGATTATTAAAAGTCACAAAATAATCATTTGACTATATAGTGTTACTTTGTTTAGTCCTTCGAGTATTAAAAGTTACAAAATGATCACACAACTATTCATTATGTTTCAAACTCGTCCATTTTCGTTAAAAAATAGATGGTATCCTTAACTGAACATTAACTTACTGACTGTGATATGATAAAATATGATTCCAAAATCTCAAAAGATTATCATATCTCATTTATCATATTAACGTCAAACTTAAACAACCGTCAATTTTTTAAAGAAAAATAACAAGATGGAACATAATGAATAGTCGGGTGATAATTTTGTAACTTTTAATAGTCGATGGACTTAATAAAGAAACACTCTATAATAAAAAAATATTTTGTAACTTTTAATAATCGAGATACTTAACAAAACAATATCATATAATCGAAGAATCATTTATGTACTTTACTTCTATATATATATATATATATATATATATATATATATATAAACACGAAACACGTTCAACAATAACAATAATAAGTAAATATGAATATTGTTTCTAACACTACGAAAATGATGCTTGATTTTACGTCAAATTTGGTACATATGTATAGGGGTGTATTCGGTTCGGTTTTTTACTAAAAATTGAATCGAACCGAAATAAACGGGTTTTTAATATTTAAACCGAAACTGAATAGTTAAAAAACTGAAAAAAATCGAAACCGGTTTTTTCGATTCGGTTCGGTTTTTTTAACGGTTCGGGTTTTTCGGTTTGGTTCGATTCGGTTTATCGGTTTTTCAATAAAAAAATCACTTGAAACTATAATTTTTTTTACAAAAATTGCCTATTCGGTTCAATATGGAACAAATGGATTCAATATGGAAAACTCGAACCGAACCGAATCAAAAAAATAAAGCCTTTAAACCGAACCGAAAACCAAATCGAACCGAACCATTTTACTCGATTCGTGTCAATTTTTCAATTTTCTCGATTTTGTTGATCAGCCTACATATGTGTGGAACGACATGATAAGAATGGATGTTGGCGGCTCAAGCAAGGCGTTGTGATGTTTGGTAGGCAGGCAAAAGGCACAGCCAGTGGTGTCTTACTGTCATTTGGCGTGTACGCGTAAGCCAACATGTATTGGTGTATATTTTTAAGAGAAAATCGCCTCAGTGACCAAAAAAAGTTATAATATACGATTTTAACCAACTTTTTTTGGATTTGCCAAAATGACCAACAAAATCGCAACGCGAAATAAAAATCGCAACGCGATCCCCAGAATCGCAAATCAGTTTCCAAAATCGCAACGCGATTCTTGAAAATCGCAATGCGATAGTACAAATTCGCATTGCGATTTTCCAAAATCGCAACGCGAATATGAAAATCGCAACGCGAACACATAAATCGCAACGCGTATCCGTAAATCGCAACGTGTATCCGTAAATCGCAACGCGTATGGGTAAATCGCAATGCGTATCCGTATATCGCAACGCGTATCCGTAAATCGCAACGATAATCCGTAAATCGCAACGAGAATCTGTAAATCGCAACGATAATCCATAAATCGCAACGAGAATCTGTAAATCGCAACGATAATCCGTAAATCGCAACGAGAATCTGTAAATCACAACACTGAAATTTTGGGTATATAACACTGAAATCATAACTAAATCCCTAAATCGCAACTCATTCCATCTCCATCTATCACTCTCTCCGGCGACATCCGTTCCTATATCCAACGACATCCTTCCCAATCCGGCAACAGGTTTTAGTTTCGCAGCTCGTCTGTTTAGTAAATTAATTTACAACCATGAAATCATCTAATGTTGATCATGTTTGGATAGATTTGTTTTGGAGGGTCATGGGATAATGTTCATGGTGTTTTACAATATATGCCTTTACCCATGAATCTTCAACTAAAATTGTCTTTACAAAAGTTAACTTATGAAACTCTAATGCTACGTGTTTCAAATAAATTGAATTTAGAGCCCCTAAGTGGATTTAGGCTATCTTATCAGAGAAATGGTAAAGTTTATTTGTTAACCGACAATGAAGATGTTGAACGATTCATTGCTTACATTAGTGTTTCACAAGATGATGTTACATTGTATGTTGTTGAACCTAGAAGTAGTATTGTTGGGTCAGTAGCGGGTAGTAATCAACTAAGTTTTTCTCAAAACCCACAACCTTTCTCTAATCCAAATCCCAATCAACTTTCAGCACCAAATTCCGGTTTTCGTATTGACCAGTTAGACGATGATGAGCCAACAGAAAAAATTGTGAGTACTAGTCAGTATTCGAAATTTGGTCTTGGTCAATATCCGGACTTTGATATTGGTCAATACACGGATTTTGATGATGTTTCAGAAGAAGAAACAGACCCTGCGTGTAATGATTTTGATATTGGTCAATACCCGAATTTTGATGATGAAACAGCCGTTGTCGAAGAATGTATTGTTGATGATAATGAGGAGGAAGTTACGACTGTGAATGAACATGTTGAACATCCATTCTGTAATTCATATAATCCTGAAGAAGAAAAAGAAGAAGAAAAAGTCCCCGAAGAAAAGAAAATGCCACGGGCGTATAACTGGAATATGCCAGAATTACTTCAGATACCGGAAGAAGAGTTGGTAAAGAAAACAGTTGATTGTTACACAAAAGTTATTCGTATCAAGAAAGATGATTGTTTTGATACAAAGGAAGACTTGAAGATAGCTTTGTATACGAAATGTGTGGAAGATGGCTATCAACTAAAAGTTAACAAATCAAGCAAAGATCATTTCGAAACAAGGTGTATGATTGACAAAAACTGTACGTGGCGTATGATTGCAAAGAGAATAAAAGATTGCGAAATGTTTCAAGTTAGGACTTTTATTGATAAACATACATGTTCAAGAACCCAAGTTTTTCCTCACCATAGACAGGCAAACAAAAAGGTGTTGGGTGGTTTTCTGGCTGAGTTAATGTTTTTGAATGGCAGGGTATATCGGGGACATGAAATTATGACTGACATGAATGCTCGGTTCAAGATTAGTATATATATTCTCAAGCTTGGAGAGCCAAATGTTATGCCTTGGAATTGTTGAGGGGGTCGCCAGAAGCATCGTTTGCCCAACTGCCGGCTTATTGTCACAATTTAAAGCTGAAAAATCCTGGGTCGGTAACTCATATCAAAACAGATAGAGATGGACGCTTTGAGTTGCTGTTTATCGCCATTGGTGCTACGGTTAGTAAATCAATATAATTTTGTTGACTCATTTTGTTAGTTACATGCATTTCACATTTAAATGATTATATTCTTGTGTATATTATTTTGTAGATTCGTTCGTTATTACTTGCATGCGCCCAGTTATATAGTTGACGGAGCACATTTGAAAGGTCGATACCTTGGAGTAAACTTATTAGCAGTAGCCATGGATGCTAACAATGGGATATTGCCAATAGCTTACGGGGTTGGCAAATCTGAAACCTCTTATTCATGGACATGGTTTATGGGGCATCTTAGGGATTGCATAGGTCCTATTAGCAATCTGACAATCATATCCGATAGGGCAAACTCAATTGACAACGCTGTTAGAAGGTGTTTCCCAGATGTTTTTCATGGACTTTGTGGTGTTCATTTGTATAGAAATCTAAAATCAAGGTCTGCTGGTATAAAAAAGCACAAATGGACATACTGGAAGGCTGTAAAAGCTTATCGGGAAGTGGATTTCAATAAGCATATAAATTGTTTAAGACGTGTTTTGCCTCAGTGTGCTCAAACACTAGAAGATGTCGGGTTTGAAAGATGGTCAAGAGTACATCAACTTGGAGCAAGATATGGTTTCATGACGTCTAATAGTGCAGAATCAATCAACGCTCTAAGTCGTCATTCCCGGAAATTACCCATTACTATGTTAATGGAGTTTTTTCGAGCCTCTATTCAACAGTGGTACTACAAGAAAAGAAACCATGCAGGTATTATTTCTTTGAATTCGTAACTTATCATATTTATATTTTACTAAGTATTGTTTATTTAAATTTACAGGAACATTGGAACATCGTGTTACACCATGGACTGAAAAAAAGATAACGAAACGTGTTGTGAAGTCAACGTCATGGAGAGTTGAACCATGTTCAAACACTTTGTTTCAAGTACTGGATAATAACTTAAATGGGCTAGTCGATCTAAATGCAAAAACGTGTAGTTGTATGAAATGGCAAACATCTGGTTATCCGTGTGGCCATGTTATAAAAGTTGCTCTTCATTTAAACCAAGATGATTCAAGCGCATACGCTATGGATTGCTACACTACAGAAGTTTATCGACAGACTTATGCCGAGATTGTCTACCCTATTCCACATCCTTCTGAGTGGGACATACCAGATGACTTACAAAAGTTTTGCCACCAGCCATGGACAGAAGGCTACCTGGCCGACCAAAAGTCACGATCGTATACCGTCTAAGGGTGAAGAGAAGAAGAGATCGACATGTAGTCGGTGCAAGGAAAGTGGTCATACAAGGTTGACATGTGGATCACCAGTGCCATCAAAATCATCTTTTCCTCTACCAAAATATGGATCCTCATCAAAATCCAAAGCTCATATGGTGTCAAGCAAAAGGCAATCATCTTCCAAATCCCAATCACAATTGGCTTCACCTTTTGGGACTGTTAACTTAGGTGATTTTTAAATGCAAACGTTGTATTATGTGGATTTTATGTGTGAA